TCAAAAATGAATCATTATTGTGACTGATACAGGCTTTACAAGATAGCAATGAAGGCTTACATAAAAAGATTCTTTCTCTGGAATCTGCTAACAGGAAACACAAGGTAGTAATAAAGATTTACAAAATGGGCTCCTTAGTTTGGAATCTGCTAACTTATTATAAGAACTTCAGTCCATTAATAATAAATGTATAGCCAGATTTGATTTTATTGATAAAGATGTGAATACTTGATAGAACAATAACTCTCCATGGTGAAGTTGTCACTACTCAGACACTTTATAAGGAAGAAAGATTATCATTAACTGATAAAATAAGGTCCATGGGATCACATGTTTCAGAAAAACATGAAAGGTTGCTGAATTCCATGAAATCTCTGGAATCTCTTACAACAGAGGAGGTACATTTGCTAGAACAGACCTTAGGTGATCATCTGCAAGTCCTGGAAGAATCTCTTAGTAAAGATGACAAGGGACCTAATAAGCAGAGGGCATGACCATACAGGTTGTAACATCTCCAAATGGTTCTCATAAAATGGCTTATCCTGTCATCATCCATGAGAAGCCAGCAGATGATAGACACCCTGAGCCATATGTAAAATATACATTACAACCTACTCCAATGAGAGATTTTTTTAAAATATGAAGGAAGCAGTAGTCGTGTATAGCATACACTCAACATTTGAAAGACATGTTAAATTTGTGATCTACCTCAAATAGAATCATACCAGATGACTGGAAACAGGTAATTTCAGCTATTCTAGAATATAGCCAGCAGTTGCAATGGAAAAGCTGGTTGAGAGAGGAGGCTAGGAACCTGGAATAGCAGAGTAAGATCTGAGATTTTGAGATCTCACAAGATCAAATTCTTTGTGAGGGATGTTTCACTAACAGGAATTTACAAGCCACTTATGATAAGCATACAATATCCCTAGGCTGTACAGCAAATCCAAATGCTTGGGAAAAAAATCCAGTTTCAGATACCAACTGAGATATACACAAAGACATTCCAAAGACTGCAAGAATCTTTCAATAATTTTTTACAAACTCTGACCACAGCTATAATGAAAGCTGTGTCAGATAAAGAATTAAGATGAATATTAACTGAGTCCTTGCCATTTAACAATGCTAATACTGAATGCAACAGAATACTTGCCATTAAAGGTCAGATCAACTCCTTTGGAAGAATGGATTCAGTATATTAATGGTGTTGAGTCTCTTAACTGTAGTAATGAGGCTTGGATAGGAGAGGCAATTCGCAGAGGTAGATCAAGGCCCTGGGGTACCAAATACTTTAAATGTGGTACACCAGATCATATAAGTAAAAACTGTACATAGGGTGCTCCTAGAAGAAATATTCCTTCTAGAAATAACCCAAATGGGAGACCCCAAACCTTCTGGATTATGTAGAAGTTGCAGCAAAGGCCAACAATGGATCAATGAGTGCAGATCAATAATAGATATATGAGGCAAACCTTTAACATTGGGAAATGCCTCAGGTGCCTTTGCAGACCCCCAAACTGAATGTGGACCAAACATTTCCAGCCACTGTGGAAGAAATTCCTCTCCAGGACAATTAAATAACCCAGTGTCTAGTGTAAAGAGCAATACTGCACTGGATGATAGAACAGCTGTGATAAATAAATCAAAAGTTCTAAAGAACATAATAAAACAAATATTTTGGCAGACTTCCATAAATGAACAAAAACCAAAGCTTAGAATTCAAATTAATGGCATTGTTCTGGAGGGCCTGGTAGACACAGGTGCAGATATGACTATAATTACATCAAAATCACAGCACCTGAATTGACCTCTTCAAGAGGTAGATGTCCAATTCCTAGGGATTGGACCCTATCTCAGATAAAGCAGAGTTCGAGATGGGTTGAATTCATAGGGCCAGAAGGACAAAGAGGAAAGCTGAAGCCATATGAAGCAAATGTAGCAGTGAATCTTTGGGGAGGAGATCTGTTACAACAGTGGAATACCCAGATTAAAATTTCTACACTCTAAGAAAAGGAATACAGACCAATGCATGTTTCTAGGAATAATATCATAACATGCTATAAGAAACAGTCACCAGCCATTCAGGCTCTACACAAACAGAGCACAAGTGCTGTTGAACTCTCAAAAGTACCAACTGTCTTACCTTTAAAATGACTAACTAATAAAGTGTCTGGGTTGGACAATGGCCTTTGACAAAAGAGAAGCTACAAGCTTTAGAACAGCTGGTTCAAGTGCAGTTAAATGCTCAACACATTAAAGAATCTGCCAGCCCTTGGAATTCTCCTATATTTGTTATAGAAAAAAAGTCAGGTAATTGGGGAATGGTGGTAGGTCATAAAGCTATTAATAAAGTAATTCAGGCAATTGGCTCCCTACAGACTGGGATACCCTTGTCCTCTCTGCTACCCAAAGAACAGCTTATTACAGTTATTGACTTAAAAGACTGTTTCTTTACCATACCTTTACAAGAAAATGATAGAGAAAAATTTGCCTTCATAGCACCTAACTATAACAATTCCCAGCCACTCAAGAGATATCAATGGAAGGTCCTCCGAAAGGGAATGTTCAAGAACCCTACCCTGTGCCAATATTTACTCCAAAAAACATTGGAGATAATTTGTGTAATGTTTCCACAATCCATAATTTATCATTATATGAATTATATCTTATTAGCTGATCCAAAGTTGGGCATATTAGAAAGCATGTTTGAAGAAGTAAAAAAAGTTTTGCCTCTCTGGAAACTGCAAATTGCTCCTGAAAAAATACAAAGAGGAGATTCTATTCATTACTTAGGATGTAAGATAAAGCTACAGAAAATTAGACCCAAAGATACAACTAAGGAGATATCAATTGCAGACTCTTACGATTTTCAAAAGTTGTTAGGAAGCATTTCCAATTTGCTGGTATCATGGGAATATCTAAAGATGGGTAACAAAATTTGACTAATACTCTAAAAGGGACAAAGAATTAAATAGACCATGAGAATTATCGGCAGAAGCTAAAAAGGTATTGGCTCTAGTAGAAAAGACAATACAAGAAGTACATGTGGATCATGTGAATCTAGAACTTAAATGCATTCTGGTCACACTCCCATCCAGACATACCCCATGGGTATTTTGATTCACAGGTAAGATACTATATTGGAATGGATATTTCTACCACATAAACCAAGTAAGAAGTTAAAGACTTATATAGAAAAGATATCTGATTTGATTCAAAGAGGAAAATTAAGACTTCACCAATTGACAGGAATGGACCCAGCAGAAAGTGCAGTACCTTTAACAAATGAGGAAATTTCCTCACCTTGAAAAGATAATGAATACTGGCAGAGAGCCTACAGTGACTTTTGGGAGAGATTAACAACCATTATCCCAAAAGCAAGAGAATAAAATTCATAAAGATGACTGAATGGGTCTTTCCTCACATTGTATGACAATAGCCAATTTCTGAAGCCCTCACATTCTATACTGATGCAAATAAAATAAGGAATGCAGGATACAAATCAAGAGACTTAAGTGAAGAGCTTCAAAGTCCATACAACTCTGTGCAAAAAGCAGAACTGTATGCCATTCTTATGGTACTGATGGACTTCAAAGAACCCCTCAATATAGTCACTGACTCCCAATATATAGAGAGAGTTGTTTTACATATTGAAACTGCTGAATTTATTCCTGATAATACAGAATTAAGTTCATTATTAATACAATTACAGGAAATCATCAGAAATAGGGAACATCATATATATATATATATATATATATATATATATATATATATATATATAATCCTATATAAATATAAAATATACACATATCAGATGCCATCCAGGTCTGCCACGACCTCTAGAACAAGGTAATGATGTGATTGATCAGTTACTAATAAGAAAAGTTCTAGAAGCCTCATAATTTCATAAGAAACACCATGGAAATAGCAATGGTTTTGTTGTTAGTAACAAAGACCTGTCTGACTGTGTCTGTGCTTGAGGATGTCTGGAAGGGAGAACTTTTCTATTATGACTCTGCACATGTTCTGAGAAAACATCTGAGAAGTGAGACATTTAGGAAGTTCCATAGATTCCTACCGGGTTATGGTCATTGCAGGAAGACAGAAATGATAAAACATAGAATTAGTTTGCAGCAGGCAACTGACCAGAAATTTTTTTTGGCAACTCTCCAAACAGGTTGTACATGTACATGCCAGAAACAAACACATTTAGTCTCTCCACAATGTTCTGATTTCTTGAATAACAATCAATACACAAATGAATGTGGAGAGATTCCAGTTTGTTTTATTTAAATCTGCTTTATTGAAAAAAATTTTTAAGCATTACACATTTTCCCTTCCCCCTTCCCAACTACTCCCAGAACCTCTGCACCTCCCTACAAAACAAACTCTACAGCCTCTCTCTCTCTCTCTCTCTCTCTCTCTCTCTCTCTCACACACACACACACACACACACACACACACACACACACACACACACAAAACATTCACAAGAAAACATACAAAAAATATTGACAAGGCAATAAAAAATGACCAAACATACCTGTATGAGATAAAGACACTACAAAACACCGTTCTATTGATTTTGTTTTGTTCAATCCCTGGGCATGGGACTTACTCTAAAGTGTGGTTATTAAAGCCAGTGAGACTTCACTGAAGAATACTAATTTCTCCTTTGTTAGTGGGTACAGTTAACAGGTAGCTTCTTGGTTCAGAGTGAAAGCCCAAGTCCACTTCCTGCTCTCAGCACTGGGACCCATCTGGTTTGAAGCTATTTAAGCCCTGCTCTTGCTTCCACAGTCTCTGTGAGTTCATAAGTGCATCATTCCTGCTGTGATGGAGGACACTGTTTCTGTGGAGTCATCCATCACCTCTGGCTCTTTCAATCTTCCCACCCCCTCCTCAGTACTGGTCCCTCAGTTCTGAGGGGACAGTTTGATGAAGACAACGCCATTAGGACTAAGTGCTCCCTTATCTTTCACTCTGTACATGTTGTCCATTTTGGCTCTCTAAAATAGTTGCCATCTACTAAAAGAAGACCCTCTGATGATGGCTGATTTGGCATTTTTCATGTGTATCTGCAGGAATATCATTTGGAATCATTTTATTGCTATATTCCATTATCAGAAGAGTAGTATTTGATTTTCCTCTAAGTCCATGACCTATCTACTCTCTGCTTGTTGGCCATGGGTCTCATCTCAGGAAGTGGGCCTTAAATCCAATCACAGAATGCTTGGTGACATCAACAATGTTTGAGCCCCTATTGCACCAGCGTGTCTCACAGCCAGGTCATCATTGAGAGTCACAGGGTTTGTAGATAGGATGGTTATTACCTTTCTCCTCCAATAGCATGCAAAGTACTTTTCAGTACTCTGAATATTAGTCAATAGAAACAAGCCTCTAGTTAGACTCCAGTTCTACTTCTCTGCATTCACTAAATCCAAAGTGTTGTCTTCAGTCAGGTGGCCTTATCATCAGTTTGTGGAGAGCAACCAATCGCCTTGGCAATATCCTGAGATATTTGGGGGGATAGTGGGTCCATGGGACTCCTATGTCCGAAGACTCAACATATGTGTGCTGATTCACTGATGCCATCTTCCCCATATCCACTTGCTAACTGAAGGTGAACATTACAATAATTTGGAATAAACTACTGTGGGGAATTGACACCAAAAACTGGGTGGAACCACAGCTCTGAACCACCTGGCTTAGGCACCAGATACCCTTTATGTTTATAAAGCCAAACAAAGGCAGACACTTATTTCTGAACATCTGAAAAGGGACTTAGCAGATATGACAGGAAACCAGGGCTCTGAACTCAAAGTCAAGAGGAAACTCCAGAGGCTAGCAGGAAAAAGTGTGCCCCACTCACTACCACCCTGTCCTGTAATAGGAAGAAATGGAGCTGAGAACCAGCCTGAAATATTGTACAGCTGACAACTGAGGCGGTGTCTCTGTGCTCTCCGAGCACAGTAGTATGTGGCAGTATCTGCAGAGTCCACACTGGTGATCTTGAGGAATACTTGGTTTTTGGAGGTGTCCTTGGAGATTGTGAGCCTGCTCTTCAGGGATGGGTTGTAGTACTTATCATCATCCCAATCAATACGTGCCAGCCACTCCAGACCCTTCCCTGAGGGCTGGCGGATCCAGCCCACACCTATACCAGAAGTGCTCAGTGAAAACCCAGAGAAAGAGCAGGTCAGACTGAGGGTCTGGGAGGGCTGCAACAGCCCAGGGCCAGACTCCCTCAGGGTAACCTGGGACAGGACATCTGTGGGGAAAAAAAAGCAGAGGGTAAGGTTGGAACAGGTTGAGCATATGGAAGTTCATCCCTTAGAGCCGTGGCACTCACAGGCAGGGACAATCAGCAGCAGGAAGGAGGAAGCAAGCCTGGCCATGGCTGCACACCAGTGAGTACCCAGGCCCAGCTTTGGCTTTTCAACCCAGGGTTGGGTGGAGCCAGCAGAGATTTGCATTCCCTCACCAGGTGCTGACTCTGATGGAGGATTTAAGATTTAGGACTCAAGAAGAACCAGTCCATGATGGGGCACACAGGAGTCCTCTGGGGAGTTCATGTCTGCACCCCATAGAGAGTAGGTAACACATGAGACCAGGGTCCCCAGTACACAGCACTTCCAGTGAGTCAAATGCAATGCAGCAAAGTTGAGAGGAGAGACCCTCACTCTAACATGAAGGGTTCTGACTCTGTCACTCGTCCAGGGTTTGTTACCCTGCATTTTTATAAGGAAAACACATGAAGAGCTCAAAGTGTTGATGTTTCTGCCACATGCATGATGCACTGTGACTGGGGCCAGAGGAGGCTTCCTAAGTGTGTCCTCTTAGTACATATTTTTTTTTTCACAAAAAAAGGTACAAGATTCTAGACTTCTTGTATAGGGTAAGAGGATGTACCATCTGCAGGCTGGCAATTACAAACGCTAGCTTTGAATGGAAGAGTGATGTTTTATTGACTTTATTATTCTGTCAATTTCCTGCCTCACATGTTTGTGATTTCTGTTTATTCAGTAGTCAGTGCCTTCATCTTCATCCTGGCCGCTGTTTCTGATGACTTCGAAAATAATAGCAGAAAATAAAGACTGCAGACAGAGACGTGGTTTGTTTGCTCAGTTCTCTCTGATTCCAAGGACAGCAGGTCAGAGGATGCTGGAAGTCGCGGCTCACAGGCCCTTTGGATGTTCTTCACTGATGTAGAGACGTTCACCCACGATGTACTCTTCTCTGTTCTTGTCACTATTGATGTTTTAAAACTTAAAAGGAATAGATTTGCCTAATGTTGAGCAACTTGTGCAGTGACTTGTTGGTGTGAGCATGACTGAATATATGGATAGAAGTTTGAGTGGTCTATTGATTTCATTCTCACGTGGGCACCATATATAGTGGCAATTAACGAGGCAAAAACACATAGTTTACCTTGTAATTAAAAGAGGTTTATTTCAGGGGTAATTTACAACCAATAAGGGGTTGATTGCTGGATCCAGAAGAGATGATGTATAGTCCAGCATAGTTCTCTGGTGAACTCTGACTTAGTCTGCAAATCCAGCCTCCAGGACCATGAGGAGCTAAGAGCGGGAACACATTCACATCTCCTGTCTTAAGGGGTCTCCTCTTGGCCACACCCCAGGTGCAGGTCATATGCAGGTTTGGCAGTTACTTGCTGCCACACTAGGGGCAGTGTTTCAAGGTGAAAGTTGGAACAGGTTCCCACTACACCAGACTATGTAATTATGCCTGGCTTCTCCCTCTCTCCTTCCCCTGAGCTTAGGGCTTCACATGGCAGTATATGACACCTTGGGACCAGGTCTCCTACACTTGCCCAGCAGAGCTGCATGAACTCAACACTGTAGATAGAACATCAAAGCCTGAGACACCAACTCACAGTCATATATTCCAGCTGTGAAACTTCTTTCAGGGGAAAGAAGTTACAGATAGATTTACAAATGCTGCTGCTGGTGGTGGTTGTGACGATGATGACTGGATGTTTGACACCTCATATTTGAAAACTTGTAGCCTTCTTATATGTATGTGCACTTGATGTTTGTCCTTCCAACAAGGTTCCATGTAGTGACTAAACATACATGCAATATCACTTAACAAAGAATTTTTACTGTATTCACACTCAGAGTCTAGTCACAGCAGCTACTTCACATGTGCAATATGGTCTCTAAATTTTTATGAGGTTAGGACAGGAAACCTAAGAATCTCCTAGGACTCACTCCCTCTCCAGATGTTTCTCTGCACCTACTACATTTTCTGTCCTGGTGAAATTTGGATCTACAGCTCCCCCTGCTGGTCCTGAGCACCCTCAAAGTGTGGTTGTTACTGAGCACACAGGGAACCTGCTCACTGTGTCTGCTGCACAGCAATGCAAGGCTGTGTCTTCAGTGGTAGAAGAGCTCAGCTTCGGGGTTACCTGGTTCTTGAATGTGTCCACTGACATATCGATGGATTTTCAGTGATAGCTCTTCACTTTCTACAAATCTTTATCCTCTTTTCTCTCAGGACAGGCTCTTCCTGAAGGTTCACAGCCAGGAGAAGGCTCTGAGCTCCCAGCAACCAGAAGCCACAATCACCCAGCATAGGACCCAACCATACTTTATTTTCTGATAGGAGACAAGGAATTATCTCAATTTTTCACATTTGTTGAGAGTTAACTTGTGTTCCATGATGTGATAGATTTTGAGAAGTTTCCATATGAGGAAAAATGTATATTCTGTATATGTTAAGTGGAATAGTCTCTGTGTGTCTGTGAAGTCCAGTTCCTCCTTAGTACATTTCAGCTCTGAATTTTCTCGATTTTAGTTTGGAAGACATATCTAAATTTTAGAGTGGGATATTGAAGTCCCAAATTATTATTGTGTCAGGACCTATGTGGACTTTTGTAGTATTTTGTTTCATGAAATTGGGGAATCCAAAACTTTATGCATAAAGGTTTATAATTGTTACATCTCCTGGATGAATTCTTTATTTTTCTAATGACTAGTGCCCCCTTTTAATGACTTTCAGTTAATTTTAGTTTAATGTTTACTTTGACTGATATGAGGGGAGCTCTAGCAGCCTTTTTATGTTTTCCAGTTGCTTGGCAATTTGCTTCTCGTCCTTTTATATTGACATTTTAGGAATCTTAACTGATTAAGTGTTTCTTGAACACAGAATGTAGTTGGTCCTTATTTCTTTTTAATCTCATCCATTTGTATCTTTTTGTGGTGATGTTTAAGGCCATTTACATTTAAGGTTAGTGAGAATGAGGTTTGCTATCTACCATAAATTTGATGGGTGGTGTTCTGTTTTCCTAGAATACTGGGTATTTCTTTTCTTGTTTCCTTATTAGGTTAAGGGTTTGATGAGCTGCTGTGTGCAGCACAGCTGTTTCCTCCTCATGTCTAGTCCGTTTATCTGCAGTCAGCCTGCCTTTGTTCCCATAGAGTATCCCCTAAGGACTTCCTGCAGTGCTGACTTACCTGTCATGAGTTGCCTTAACTTGTGTATGCCTTGAAATGCCTTTTTTCCCACCAGCATTGAAAGATAATCTAGCAGGATATAGCATTCTTTGTTCAGAGTTGTTTCTTTTCAGAGCTTGAAAAACTGCATTTCATATCCTTCTGGCCTTCATGATTGCTGATCAAAATTCTGGGGTAATTCTGATATTTCTGCTTTTGTGAGTTGTTTTTTCGTGTTTTTAGTATTGTTTCTTTACTTTGAATATTTGACATCCTGATTGTAATATGCTATGGTTATGTCTATTTGGACTTCTACATACCTCTTGTATTTCTCTCTACATTAGTCAATCTTTTTTATTCAGTTTTTCCTCTGCTTCTTCTTCTACACCATGAATTCTTAGGTTTGGCTTCTTAAACATATCTTGGACTTCTTAGAAATATTTTTTTTCTTTTCTTTTCTTTTCTTTTTTTGTTTGTTTGTTTGTTTGTTTGTTTTTTAAGACAGGGTTTCTCTGTGTAGCTTTGGAGCCTGTCCTGGAACTCGCTTTGTAGACCAGGCTGGCCTTGAATTCACAGAGATCCACCTGCCTCTGCCTCCAGAGTGCTGGGATTAAAGGCGTGTGCCACCACCGCCCGGCTATGGTCTTGTATGTTAATGATAACATCTGTTGTGGGTTTTATTTGGCTGATCATCTCCTTCATTTAAATATTCATTTTTATAGTGATTTTTCAATGTTTTAATCTCCTTGCTATTTTTCCTCCATATTTTGAGCTTTGCCCTTAAATTTATTTAATATTCTTATTAATTTTTTTAATAAATGTATTAAATGTTTCATTCACTTTGGAGGCTGTCTGGTCAAGATCTTGGATATATTTCCTTAACTCACATGTTTGTTTGGCACTTCCATGTGACTGTTAGTTCTTTTGAATAGTTTGACTCTGAATTCTTTCAAAGACATTTCAGCTATTTCTGTAATTTTACATTCCCTCATAGAGGAACTGGCTGCTTGGCATTGGATCTTGGGTGATGGTTGTGTCATGGTTTTTTTATATTGCTTCGTGTCTTATACATTTGTTTAAGTGAGTATGTTTATTTCATCTTCTTCAGAGCTTATTGTGATATTAGGGTTTTTATGACTCTTCTTAGAGGAATATTTACACAAAGTTCAGCTGCAAGGACTGGAGAAAATGGTGTTGATTATCAAAGGAGTTGTTTAAGTGATCGCATTTTGGCATGTGTCAGAATGACTAAGTGAGGGTTATACACAATGCACCAAGGTAACTAGATGAGGTCAAATCTGATCATCCCTGAATTCTATGAACCTGCTGGAGTCAGGCTACCAAGCTTCATACCCATTGAAGTCCATTTACTATAAGGAGTCTGTGATTAGAGTTACAGGACCCAAATATGTCTGGAATCACAGAATGTAGCAGGTATCTTAAAGAGTCTTATTAATAAAATCAAACCTGGAGCTGGGTATTTGGGGTGAATGCTGGAAGATCAGAGAAGCAGAACAAGCCACAGCTTCCTCACCTTGCCAATTCCTCAGCTGATCCTGTTTCCTCAGACTGGAAGCCTCTGAGTCCTCATCCAGAATGGCTCTCAGCTGAACTGCTGCTAAAAGCCTAAAAACTTAACCAGGCTCTAGTTCCTGGTCCTCACACCTTATATACCTTTCTGCTTTCTGCCATCACTTCCTGGGATTAAAGGCATGAGTTACCATGCCTGGCTGTTTCCAGTGTGGCTTTGAACTCACAGAGATCCAACTGGATCTCTGCCTCCCAAGTGATAGGATTAAAGGCGTGCACCGCCACCACTGCCTTCTTACCCCTCACTGCCGCTGCCGTTCTTCCCCTCAGAAAGAGGCCTACTTCCTGTATATCTGTCTTTTTATTGACTTTCTGTTCTGCCTTCTCATTGGTTGTAAACCCAACCACATGACCTCCTCGTCACTGCCTGTCCGTACAGACCTCCAGGTCTTCTATGGTTGGTATTGAAATTAAAGGCTTGTGTCTCCATGCTGGTGGTATCCTTGAACACACAGAGATCTGACTGTCATGTGATTGGGATTAAGGGCGTGTGCTACCACTGCCAGACTTCTGCTATGGCTTTCTATTAGCTCTGACCCCCAGGCACTTTTATTTATTAACATACAAATAAAATCACATTTCAGCACAAATAAAATATCACCATAACAGAAAAATAAACATCAGATTCTGTAGTGACATTTAGCATGTCAGATATCAGAACTCCCCAGCATTCTCTATTCATTCTCTCTCTATGTTTTGGAAGGAGATGAGTTGTGTTCAAATGTCAGTCAACATATCAGATTTGACTGAGGGCCTTATCATTTCCTATTTCATTCCTGTACTTCATTTTAATATTTTATTTGATGATACATGAGACTTCTCAGCTAATGGAGATGATTTATGGCAAACTCAAGAACAGTATGGATTATGACTCCACCACAAATGCAAGTCAGGAGAATTCCTTCCACAGAGGTCTCTCTAGAGCAGGCTATTGGTGTATTTGTGTGATTAGCACTTTCTTGCCCATATCAGAAACAATCAACATTTATTCCATTCTTTCTAGCCTGCATCTACAATCTTTACTCTGTAATCTACAGTTATTTGCATGTGCTTATACACTCTATGATTCTGGCAGGCTATAGATGAGGTAATAATGGATTGATCAACCAGGTTCTCTATGTCACATTTTTACCTACCAAAGATACCATACTGTAGTAAACCCTGATGTATAGACCATCATATCCAGTATGATGCCTTAAGATCTAGGTCCACATTTGATGTGATTCAAGTTGAATTCAGCGTGTATCCCAAGACTATTTACAACTAGGTATTTATTATGTTGGCTGGACTAGAAGTCTGACAGACTGGAGTTGTGTCTGTCCTAGAGGCCTCCCACTGGCAGGCCTGACACTATGGCCAATATCATTTACATATGTTCTGATCTTTTTAAACATTTTTGAGAATTTCATACATGAGAAATATATCTACATCACTTCTACTCCTGTCTCCTTTGACTCCAATCCAACCTCACTTTCAAATTTTTAACCTCATCTGTAATTATTATTGCTTCATGTCGTGTGTGTGTGTGTGTGTGTGTGTGTGTGTGTGTGTATTCACGCACGCTCGCGCATGCGCGTGCATGTGCATGTGCATATGTGCATGCTGGCCAGTTGTGAGTTTTTACATTAATCATCATCAACTTTACTAATCTACAGGTAGAGAGATACAAATTTAGAAGTCAGTTTGATAATATGTCCATTTAGTGAAATAATAATAACAAGTTAACCCAGGGACTCTGAGGTACTCAACCATGGGTTCTTGGCCAGATTTATGTTACCAGGCATGTTGATGGGGTGTTAAATCCAATCAGAAAGTGTTTGGTTACACTCACAACATTGCACTTATTCATTACTTATTCTCCAGAAAAAAAAAAATACCTATTTACAAAATCTTCTAATTTCTCTTCCAGAATGTGATGAACATAAAGTTGAAGCTTTTTGGTTGGGACAGCAGGGACAGGAAGTGAGCAAATGTTGTCTCTAGTGGTGTTACCCAATGCAAGAAAAATGACTCAGCCTAGTCGGCGTGGTGGACACCAACTCCTGGTACTCATGTAGACTTTGCAAGGTGCCGGAGATTAGAATATGTGTATACATACATATATATATTCTATATACAGAGAATTCTCTATATGTAGAATATATATATATATATATATATATATTCACATACATACTCAGGATGGTCTAAGAAGTATTAAAAAGAAAACAGACAGGTGAAAACCATGTCTTGAGAAGAGACCAATATGACTGGTAGTTAAAATATTGTAAACTTTCAGCAAACTGTTATGTGTTTATTGAGTTAAAAAGTGATCTTGAGGTTTATGGGCACAGTATGGAATGGTTACATCAAGATTATTAATGTATCTGTCACTTTAAATGGCATAGGCACATTTAAAACAAAAAACTCATTTTCACAGTATAAAAAACACTATTAAAGTGGAATATTTGAAATAAACTTGCATAGAGAGAAGTCACAGAACAAAGTTCTGTATGAGTCAGATAATTTATGTTTATTTAAACATTAAATTTTATTGTTTAGGAAAAATTTAAATAAAAGTTGTGTAAGTTATCTAAAAAGTCTATAACTTTATTCATATATTTATTTAAATATCTATTTATATATGGATATAACCCATATATAAAGATTATATACTCTCTGAGTAATTTAGTAGATGTTGATAGATTTCTGTAAATAAATAGACATATAAATTAACATTATCAGAAATTACTAGTGCATAAAATGCATATTCTCCCCCTTACAATACATTTTGCATCTTACTCTTTCTTTGACTGAATACCCAAATAATAAAATGCATTGTAATAGCAAAAACAGTTCATAAACTTATGACCCTAGCATACAAAGTCATGAAACTTACATCCACTTCCTGTCCCACCTGTGGCTACAGCTAGTCCCGAGCGCCCCCTGCTGGTTTTGAGCGTTCACTGGTGGCGAGCACCACTTGAGGGAGGTTTTTGTCTGGGCTCACACTACCATCTACTCACTGTGTCTCTTTCTCTGGCGCAGTAATACATCACCGAGTCCTCGGCTCTCAGACTGCTCATGTGAAGGTAGGCAGTGTTCTTGGAATCATCTCTTGAGATGGCGAATCTCTGTTTCACAGACGCAGCATACTCCGTTGTGTGCCCCCTAGGTTTGTCTCTGATGAAACCCACCCACTCCAGACTCTTTCCTGGAGCCTGGCGATGCCAGTGTATGTAGAAGTCACTGAAGGTGAACCCAGACCCTTCACAATAGAGTCTCAGGGAACCTCCTGGCTGAATAAAGCCTCCTCCAGACTGCTCCAGATGTACTTCACAGTGAACACCTGTGAACATAACAATGGTGTGCTTAAGAGGTTCTCTCTCTCTCTCTCTCTCTCTCTCTCTCTCTCTCTCTCTCTC